TAGATGGACATGAGTCCCAGACCTTGTATAGATACAGAAGTAAAATAGGACCATTCCATTGGTCGTAAAAAATTGCATCAGATAGACACCTTTTTGGACTTAAAATCCAATTTCAAAATTAAGCAGTAGACGGGAGTTGAGGGGGCAGAATATTCCCCTCCCCCAGCAGGGCGCGTACACCTGCATAGCGCAACGAGGCATGGAGTACCTATGAGATTACGAGAAAACGTTTAGGGATAAAAACTCATCATTCAAATCAAATCCATAATGAACGATATCATATCAAGCTGAGTTGCAGTATTTTGGTAGTTTTTTTTTTTATTATTTTCTGCACGAAGTTCGGAAACGTTTATGTTGCGTTTATGTTTATCTTCTGGTAGTATCCGTGGATATAATCAGGTTTGGATTAACCCTCGCATGTGTAAGGGGGGGGGTCGGATGGACCCCCCTGGTTTTTCGCGAATAACTCGCGTAAAAAGCGGCCGATCGCGACGAAACTTTCAGTACCCTCGCATTGATCAATTTTACACCTATCCTAAAAATTTCATGACCCTGACCCAAATGACCTTTGACCTGTGACCTCTTTTCCGAGACCATGTTTGGCCGGAATCGCGATTTCGCGTATGTCGGCTCGCATTAGCCGCGCGTTTGCAAGCTTTTCGTGGTTTCAAACGTTCAAACATGTGATTTGATGTTGCTCCCATACATTAGGGTGGGTGTCAAGGTCACCTGAAGGTCAGGTCAGGTCATTGACCTTTGGTGACCTCGGGTGACCTCGGTTCACTTTTTCGAGTTTTACATGTTTCTAGGCTAGTTTTTGGAGCTGAATTCGAATTTAGCAACCATTTGAACATTTACGAAGTAGTTTTGGTGACTTCGTAACATGTTACGAAGCTGTCAGAGGCGGTTGACACGTACAGTGGATCTAGTTAGGATCTCCAGACGTAACTAGATGGCGTTGAGCCTTAGTCGAGTCCATGTCAAATTCAAGGGGAGGTCAGTACCGAGCTGGGCCCGGTGGGGAGGTGGGGAGGGGCGAGGTCACGGTGCGGGTGACCTGTCAAACAGCCCCGGCGCAGCTAGGCGCTGCCGTAGGCAAAGGACGCATTCCAGCCGGCTCGCTGTTCCATATCGCGGTGGCGGGCCTGGCGGCCCGTAGCCTGGCTGCTTGGAAGGAAAGGATAAAGGCATGGGTTTGCCGTGGTCGTTTCATCTATTGTCACTTATATGACGCACTCAAAGTACTGCATATGTGATGTTGGTAATGCATGATGCTATGGTAGGTATTATTGTTGGTAATTATTGCGATGTTGGTAATGCAGCTGGCAGTGGAATACTAGCGAATGCTCCGTGCGCCGAATAGCTCAAAGGATTAAGATTCTAAATATAGCCTGAAATTTTCATTGAAGATAATTCCAGCACCATAAAATATCCTTCACCAGTTTTGGACTGGCTGATGTTTCTTGCGTAGAACGCCTTTTGACAAATAATTGTCATGGCCGGCGATTTTTTTTTTGCATGACGGGTCACATCGGACTAAGGTCAAATTTAGTCGCTAAAAGGAAATGAGAAAAAGTGGACGAGTATCGCATTTTTGTGCACAAGGTTTCGAATTAAAAAACTAAGCCAAAATAAGTTAAACAATAAAAAAATATAAGAATATGTGACCCGAAACTAACTTCTGTTTTGTATGATCATGATTGGGTGTAAGACCCCGGTCCAGCCTGGTTCAACCCGGTCTAACGGGTGCTGGAAATGAGGCCGCTTTCTGGTCCCGGCGTTTTATTCTCCGGGCGGGTTAATCCCGTCCAGCGTTTAGCCTTTCGAGACCCACTCAGGGTCGCGGTTGTTTTCGCCGCGCGCCCCAGTCGAGATGCAAAGTTAATAGTCACACGAAGCTTATTTAGGGCCAGCCAAACCAGCCTAGTCTGGAGTCACTGTTAAATGTATGCATATAGATGAAAGAAAAAGGTTTTGTAGAATCGATTAGTTTCGAAGTCGTATATTCAGGGGCCTCAAATGAAGTTCGTGTGACTATCAACTTTGCATCACGAATGGGCCGAGCGGCGGAAACAACCGCGGCTGCTCTGAGAGGGTCCCGAAAGGATAAGCGCTAAACGGGGCTAACCCACCCGGAGAATGAAACGCCGGGACCAGAAAGCGGCCTCATTTTCAGCAGGTTCGGCTCCCTCATTTACCTTCGGGCTTGGCCTCGTGACATTTACAGACGTCAGACATTCAACAAACAATTTTGGCGGAAACACTATCCAGCAAGCTGCGCAGGGGCGCAGGGTGACAGGTGTTCGTAGCGTTGGGGCTGGGTGATCTGTGTGCCGAGTGCGATGTCGTGGGTTCGAGCCCCACACGGCTCTGGTTTTATCTAGACACTAGCCAAAACCTTTCCTTTTACTGCAATACTGACAAGCACGGTGATTTATCTTTCCCGATATCCTCTTAACAAAGTCAAAATTGTCGCACCTATATATTTATTTTAATGTTTTGCTGAGTTTCATGAATTTTCATTTTTTATTTTTGCTCGTTTCTCTGGACCCATTTCAACTCGTGATTCTTTTCGATCCGATAAAAACCCATCAAGGCTGAACGTGCCAAAATAATGAAAGGAATTATGCAACTGAATATAAATTTAGAAAAGCCTTACACATCATGCAAGCTGATCTACTGAAAGTATAGGTCCTAGATTTCAATTATGATTGGTTAACATTTTTGCTGCAAGTTTGAGGCGTTGCCTTTCGCTTGCCCGTTTGTTTGAGATAGCTATTCCCTTCAGTCGCATTCTTGCTGGCTTCACATGAACAGGGTGTTGTTTCACCGGCGATCGCAGGACGCTGCTATTACTACGTGTCAAATTGGGTTTCCATGGCGACGTCAACAAGCCCATTGCTCCAACACTACCACAAGTGTGACGTCAGCAGATATCACCGGTGAAACACCACCCGAGATACCACCATACCTGAGGGAGCGCACCCGCAGCCAGCATCCCCTCCCCTCAGCCGCGGCGCAGTGGCGGGCGGCCCATTCCCGGCGCTACGCACGCTCCACGCCGCGATAGCAGCGCGTCACCCCCCCCTCCCTCCTTCCCCCACAATGACCGGTGACCTCGCTCCCCTCGGGATTTGGACTCGCCCTACCCCGACCGTAGCGCCACGTGGTGGCTCTGGAGATCTTAAATAGACCCACTGTACTACGAATACCCGTCACGACGCCTACTGGTTGACCTGACCTGACCTGACCCGACCTGGTCTAAATGCTTAAAGACATCATCTGTGATCAAAACTTACACGATATTCGTGATCAGCACCCCGAAAAACCCCTTAGCAGCCATACTTTACGACTTTCTAACACGTCCCGATTTTCCCAACTTTGGGTCATTGACCTGACCTGGAAGGTCAACCAATGACCTAGGACCTTAAAATTGGGTATCATCGGATTCCTCTCATCACGGGCAACACGCTCGTTTTTTCCGCGAAGCTCTAGCTCGATCAGGGGCCAAACGGCAAGGGGGGGGTCCAACCGACCCCCCCCCCCTACACATTAGAAGCTGGCAAACGCCGCACACATGCGAGGGTTAATATGGGCTCTCACACCATTGCCCGTAAAATTCAACTAGAGAAAGCTTTTAGCTGATGAGATAATCAGCTAATTGGCTGGATTAGGCTGATCCTTGATCAGGTAATGTTTCGGATTAAAATTGGTTTATCAGTTTGTAATCAACTATTGATTTGCCTGTACTTGAAAAAAGATGAAGTTAAATTTTACTCTCAATATAGGTTAAGAAAAAATGATAAGTATTGCAATCTAGAAGGTGGGCATAAGACTTCCGAGCAGGGATGCGGAGCCATGGAAATTTCAGACGGCTCCGGCTCCGGAGAAAAAAAATCGGCTCCGGTTCCGGTTCCGGGTGAAATGCCATGGCGGCTCCGGCTCCGGCTCCGGCTCCGGTAAAATGGTCCGGCTCCGGCGGCTCCGGCTCCGGCTCCATTGCTCAGTACATCCCCTATGCAATTAAATACGGGTGGTAGAAAAAAGACGATTAGATTGGTGCACGTTGCTTTTGTATTTGCATAACAGGCTATTTTCATATTTTGAATACCGCATATTTTACTGCCTTGAACTGTCTAACCGAATTAGGTTAAGAATTTTTCTTCTTAAAAAAGGCCGGAGTCGCCCCATTTTTTGACGGCTCCAGCTCAGGCTCCGGCTCCGGCTCCGGGCTATATTGTTTCACGGCTCCGGCTCCGGCTCCGGCTCCGCAACCCTGCTTCCGAGTGCAAGGAATGTGCGAAAGTTAAAAAGTCTGCCCCGTAATTACATTGAAACTTGAAAGATATGATGGCAGTTGCTTGTCTTTCAGCTTAGCTAGGATGAAGAAGTTAACTAAGTTCAACCAGTTATTAAGTTATTTATTACACTATGGTTCAACTTTAAATTAACGATGCACCGGCCATCAGGAATCCGTCCATGATAGTCTATTTTTGAATAGGCATTATTGTGGCCGCCAGCCCCTTTCAATCTAGGGAGGCCATTTCACAGGTGGAAGGATGATATGAATGCGAGGGTAAGTCAGCGCATTCATCCTTACGGATGCGCCATCGAGACGCGCCGCCGACGCTGCCACCGCCCTTCTCGATGGGCAGGCCAATCAGCTCCGTAAACGGCCACCCGACTGTGCGTGAGCATGCTCCCGAGAGGCTACTTAATTCAAAAGAAGCCGGGGTCCAGGGTCCAGCCAGGGTCAGGGCCAGGGGGCGTAAAGGAGATGGACCCCGAGATTAAATAAGAGGGATCTGCGAGGCCAGCCCATGACATGCATGGCTCCAAGCAAAGTCACTCTCATGAAACAAACGTTATAGGTACACACACCATGTTCCCAATGTCAATCTGTTCAGGGGCCTAATGACAACGGAGCGAGAAGCCTCCCAATGTAGAGCGGGCCCACCCCGTCCCGTCCCGTCCCCGCCCCGCCCCCGCACAGAACTCACCTGGGCAGGTGGGGACGGCGACTCACGTGGCCGAGGCCAGGTGCCGACTGAGGAATGCCGCCGGCGCCGCCCCGCCCGTCGGCCCCGACAGGCCGCGCACGCACGTCAATAACACAACGAAACCGACGGACGAGACCACTCGGCCAGCGGCGCCGCCAGGCGCGCAGGTGAGGGGGCAGAGGGGAGCAGCGGCGGCGTCAGGGATCAGTGACGGAGGGCTGAGAGGAGCAGTGGTGGCGCCCACAGTTCACGGGCGCAGGCGGGAGAGAGCATGAGGGACATGGAAAGGTAACGAACAACCCAGATGTGCACATGCGACTTTTGATGCAACGGGGAAAGCAGCAGCGAAATGCGAATGGATCTGGATCAGAAATTTCAGCGAATTTATAACACATATCATGTTAAAGGGACCCTCCCACCTTCAAAAAAGTTAATGAATTGGCACGAAAGTGATGTCGCTCGGTTCAGAAAGAGCGAAAACGAATATCTACCAAATTTCATCGAAAAATATTCACCGGTTTTCAAGATATTAGGCTTTTACTTTTGTTTACTTTTTGGGATCTCCGCTGTTCCTAGCGACTTTATTTGAAAGTGCGGCATTTGTTGCGCGCAAAGCAGCATATACCACCGCGTGCTACCAAACGTTTTAGTAAAAGATTTAAAAATCGTTAGATCTCCGCTGACGTCACAAATTCTAAGGGGGCATACCAATGCACTAGCCCCTTAGAATCCGAAAACTGCAAGTTTGAAATTCCATATCTCCGAATTAAAGCATTTGTCGATGTTGTGAGTGCCCAAACCGGTATTTGCAGGCCATGGCCACCAATTTGGCTATCTCAACTCAAAACTAATGTTAAGGTGGGAGTGTCCCTTTAACGAAATCATGCTATTTACCTATCGATGGCGGAGGCACGATAAAGGGGACGGTGTCGTAAAATAGCAGACACACAGAAATTCCAACGAACTTCATTATTGAAGACAATTCATTACAAGTTACAACTGATGCCGGAAGCCCGAAACGACTAAAATCATTGCGAGATAGAAAAATACAGCAAAATTGAAGGAGTGTTACAGGAAAGATAATGCTGGGAAGAGTAATCGTCCATTTGCGTGAGACCGATACCGTCCCCCTGAGGCGCCTTCTTCGGGCGGATCTTTCCTGCAGTGCAGCAGCTGGATGACATGATGCACAGCTTCTTTAGCGGCCAAGACTCGCGATTTTCAGCCTCGGTGGCGAAAAACTAACTTTTTTAGCATCGCCGTTTACCCATGAAGTTACTTTCTCGTTCTATGCCTACTACTATCTGGAAAATATACCTATCTGAGGAGAAAATACCGCGGAAGTCTGGGAGAAGATATAGGTAGCACGACCCATCTGGCGATCGATTTCTACGGTACCCCGAAAACTGGGCACGATATTCATCGAGACCATCTTACACAACCTAAACAAGCCTAGACGGGCACGGGCGTCGCTTTCCGAAACATATTGGTACGGAACTGGCTATTTCTGGCTATCAAAGCCATTCTTATTATGGCACGCCGTGCGGTATATGTACCCCTATATGCCATAGGGTATGTGTAAAAATACCGAAGTTAAAAGGACCCTCCCACCTTCACAAAAGTGATGTCGCCCGGTTCAGAAAGAGCGAAAACGAATATCTACCAAATTTAATCGAAAAATATTCACCGGTTTTCAAGATATTAGACTTTTACTTTTGTTTACTTTTTGGGATCTCCGCTGTTCCTAGCGACTTTATTTGAAAGTGCGGCATTTGGTGCGCGCAAAGCAGCATATACCACCGCGTGCTACCAAACGTTTTAGTAAAAGATTTAAAAATTGTTAGTTCTCCGCTGACGTCACTCATTCAGAGGGGTATTCAAAAGCATTAGCCCCTCTGAATCAAAACGCTGCAATTTTGAAATTCAACATTTCCGATTTAAGGCATTTCTCGATGTTGTGAGTGCCGAAACCGGTAATTGTGAGCCAAGGACCCCATTTTGGCTATCTCAACTCAAATCTAATGTTAAGGTGGGAGGGTCCCTTTAAGTATTGGTTATACGGCTTGAGCCCTACAGGCCTATAAAAACATCCTAATGAGTAAATTATGACTTACAAAGAAGTAAAGTGCTACGTTAGGTAAGAATACATTCCACACCGTTGTGTCCCGTGCAATACAGATTACAGCAGTGCCCGCAGTGTGCTTCGCCCCCAAAAGCAACAGCGACATGCAGGATAAGGTCACTCACCCTTCCATCATTGCGGTTCGACTTTCTCTCGACATCATCGCTCTCTTCCGGGAGACACGCACACTCAGTTGAGTCTCAACTTCGCTAGCGAACTTATCTATTTATGGGTGAGTGCCGAGGCGCACCTGGCACGCTAGCTGGGCCAGGCCGTGTTTTACAGAGCCTCGTTTGTGGAAAAGTTCCACCCGAAGTTACGACGAGCATGACAAATTCAGGAGCGCTCTTAAGAATCACTCTCATGAATCCAGCGCGTACCACCAACACGCAATTAGCGCAATTTTTCTTTTTTAACTTACGGGTGGATCTAGTTAAGGGCATTGGCCTCTGCTGCAGTCGTCGAAATAGACGAAATTTGGCAGATCTCTTCGCATAGAAAGAAAGAAAAAAACTTTTATTAACCCTCGCATGTGTAGGGGGGTCGGATGGACCCCCCCATGGTTTTTCGCGAATAACTCGCGTAAAAAGCGGCCGATCGCGACGAAACTTTCAGTACCCTCGCATTGATCAATTTTACACCTACCCTGAAAATTTCATGACCCTGACCCAAATGACCTTTGACCTGTGACCTCTTTTCCGAGACCATGTTTGGCCGGAATCGCGATTCCGCGTATGTCGGCTCGCATTAGCCGCGCGTTTGCAAGCTATTCGTGGTTTCAAACGTTAAAACATGTGATTTGATGTTGCTCCCATGCATTAGGGTGGGTGTCAAGGTCACCTGAAGGTCAGGTCAGGTCATTGACCTTTGGTGACCTCGGGTGACCTCGGTTCACTTTTTCGAGTTTTACATGTTTCTAGGCTAGTTTTTGGAGCTGAATTCGAATTAAGCAACCATTTGAACATTTACGAAGTAGTTTTGGTGCCTTCGTAACATGTTACGAAGCTGTCAGAGGCGGTTGATCCGTACTACGAATACCCGTCACGACGCCTACTGGTTGACCTGACCTGACCTGACCCGACCTGTTCTAAATGCTTAAAGACATTATCTGTGATCAAAACTAACACGATATTCGTGATCAGCACCCCGAAAAACCCCTTAGCAGCCACATTTTACGACTTTCTAATAGGTCCCGATTTTCCCGACTTTGGGTCATTGACCTGACCTGGAAGGTCAACCAATGACCTAGGACCTTAAAATTGAGTATCATTGGATTCCTCTCATCACGGGCAACACGCTCGTTTTTTCCGCGAAGCTCTAGCTCGATCAGGGGCCAAACGGCAAGGGGGGGGGTCCAACCGACCCCCCTCCCCTACACATTAGAAGCTGGCAAACGCCGCACACATGCGAGGGTTAAATTACATTTCATGTTGCAGAGGAAGGCATGAGAAACGAAATCTAATTTGCGCCGCTCCCACCGCCAGCTTCTTTTCCAGTTTTCCGTCAACCAGTTTTCTGCACCTATCTGCCGATTAGATCACAATTGTCAAATATCGTATATAAAATATAAAATATAAAAAAGTATATAAAATAGGCATTTCTTTTCTCACTAGGTAGGACAAATAGAATAGAGAGTAAGGATTGATTCAGACGAACACTGATGTTGACAGGATTACCTATAGGTCGATAAGTCTTTTTTACGCTAATATTTTATTGATTTGATTCGTCGACATTTAGTAGCTAGTGATTGGTCGGTGGCTATTCTACACAGACGCCACATCATATGATCTGGTCTAGCGCGGCGTGAGCTGTGTATGAGCTGAAACAGGGCACAAAAGAATAGATCCGAGGTTCCCGTCGAGTGCCCTGCGTGGAGTCATTTGCAGCGGCCTGCGGGCGAGTAGCACAGTTCTTGGATGGATGACTTGAAAGGTGGGTGACACAGATGCCACCAAGATGCCACATGCAAATGATAGCGACTGCATGTGCTATCATTTACCTTGATATCCCAAGAAACGCTACCGGATGATAATGACAAAACAATATATAGGCACTCCACAATGCATAAATCATTATGAAAATAATTTTAGTTAAATCATTATTAAAAAGGAAACGATTTTCAGCTCATCATAATGTAATCAACGCCCCGATTAACTATTTTTAAGAACATTTGGGTCATTTCAGAGCCGAATTTCCTCAGTAATCGCGGGGGTGACGCTTATGCATTGCGTCTCCAGTGACCTAGATTTATATGAGCTTGGATGGGGAGGACGGAGGTTTTGACAAATGGCTTTGAGTTCCGGCAGAATATAATAACGCACCAGGTCTGATTGCCAGATCGCCTGATGAGTATGCCTACGTTGTGGTAATAAACCATCCGCAAGAGGAAAAGTTGCCTGAGTGATACACATTTAATGAACAAAATTTCTACATGCGTGTTTCAAAATCACTCCATCATGGGCAAAATGCGAATTTTTGTTCAGCAGTTTGAACGTGTCTCGGTTGTTGTTAGGTTATTAACCGCATGGTTTAACCCACTCACCATGTTAGAGCCATCCAAAATGAAAGATTTGACGGCAAACACGATTTAAAGTTCCAAATTCACACGCAGATTTCAGCACCGAACCGTGCTAAGCTCTCTGGCCTACTATTAACCCCCAAACTCTGCCCCGCTCATGGCGCCGGCAGTCGGCAACTTTGGACGGTCATTTTCACTGGGGCGGGCGCGCTCTGGGGGCGGGGTTCCAACATGCAGGGTTAGGTGGTGAGGTCGGCCTGTGCCCATGGGCGTGACCCGGTCTCCCGGCGGCTCACCGGCCAGCCAGTGTCCGCAATCGATTGCCGATAGTCTGAAGCCAGTCTCTGTCACCGGTCCACTGGGGTCCGGTTGGGTCCATTTCAGTCGGCGGAGACATCACCTGGCCAACCTGGCGACCTCCATTTCGGTGGATCGGGCATCACGAGACAAAGTGAGCGCGGGACAGCGGGGAAATTATAGACGTCCGATTTCAGAGTGGTGGTCTAATCGCCTGGCGCATAGTGATACACCGAAACTAGCGTCTAACATGTGAACTGAACCGGCGGTTTGAGCTCAATTAGCCAGGCTAGTTTTGACGGCAAAATACAGGCTGAATCGTTTAACAAATGTGTCGTGAGTCGTAGCTGAATAAAGATGTCTGAAGCTTTAAAAAAGGCAACTGCAGGAATACTTTCAAAGACCGATGACTACATGAAACTATCGAAGCATGAATAGGTATGAGCATAAACTGAATACGAATAAGCAAGCAATACCTATGAATAAAATTCAACGTAATTTCTGAAGTTTCATCAAGGCAGAGTGGGTGTCAAGCTCGTGTCCAGCAGGGCCTTGCGTGCCCGTGTCATTCGCTTTTTTTACTGCAATGTCAGTTATCTATCTATACCTATCAAGAACAAATAAAAAGTTAGGAACAAAGAGAGTCAACTAACCTATATTTTTGTATCTGTTTTAGTGCTTGTTGGAGGATCATTATTAATGTAAAAATCAAGTATTTCTTTATTGTCATGACCTTTCCTCCTTTTCAAAAATATGCTGAGCCAAAATTATATTGTTTTAGCGTTTTCAAATATATCGGCCACAGGCCTTCATCAGTGAAATATCAAAAAAAAAAGTGAAATATCCAAAAAAAATATCCTTTTTTTTTTTGGATATTTCACTGATGAAGGCCTGTGGCCGATATATTTGAAAACGCTAAAACAATATAATTTTGGCTCAGCATATTTTTGAAAAGGAGGAAAGGTCATGACAATAAAGAAACCTATATTTTTCCATTCATTTTCGAACTCTATTCAGCGCACGAATAGCAAAGTACCCTCAGTCCAGCGACGTCCCAACTCCCAATTATAGACCCGTCTAAGCTACCGCCAGACTTCGACGGCTACCTCTGCGTCAGCACCACCAGCACCACCACCATCACCATCACCATCACCATCGCCACCAGCGGCGGCGGCGGTATCATCACAGCACATGACAGGCCGTCGGGGTCGTCACGCAATCCCACCCCGGAGTCGGTGCCACGCACAGCCGCCGCCGGGCCGACGGCCACATCAGTCGGCGAGCAGTAAAACGCCGCCCCGCCCGAGAGCCGCTAATCAGAAACCTCGTAAAAATTGCAGCCGCACGCACACGAGCCGACCGTTCCGGACGGAAATGATCTGCCGCCTGTCGGCCCGGCGCGGAAGCGATGAGGTGGCTATGGAGGCGGTGGTGGCGGTGAGGGAACGGTGGCGATGAGCACAGCGGTGGAGGCGCGCGGGGTGGCTCCGATGACCGTGGCATATCCATGTTGGCTTCTCGGGCGGGGAGGGTGGATGGATGTCACCCCGCGAGAGATATATGCAGACGAACGCTGCCGGTGCGGTGCTGACGCGTGACATGGCGTCGGTGCATGGCACGGCCGGGTCCGACCTCGAGCTGGGCCCGGCACCGGAGGGGTGCGACCTCGACCCGCCGCGGCAACGGCCCCGCTCAGCGGTCCGTGTCGTGACCATGTGACGATATGACGTGACACGGCTACGGGGATGTAGCTGGTGTGACTCAAAGGTCATCCCGTTCGGGACGCATCGAATGATGTATTGGGTGCTGGAATGGAAAGGAAAAATCGAAGTACCCTCGCCCTCCCACCGTTTTACATGACGCACCGTGATGTTTAGGGGGAACCGGGAAAGTGCGGTAGTCGTGCCTTGATTGTGGGTCAATTTCCTCAACCTTTTTGTTTGATGGCCAGTTTTTGCCATGTTGTTGATTTTTCTATAAGTCTTAAAAAGCGTTTTACTCTGCCTGGAACAAACGAGGTTAAATATTCACAAGGGTTTGCAGGGAAAGCTACTACGAGTACGGTCTAAAGACTACCGAATGATGTGCCTTCGATCGCAATCATTCCTGTCGGCAGACGGTATCACGCGCCCGTGGACCCCGACCGTGGGGTCTGAGCCAACTTCGCGCCACCACCGCCATCAAATTCAGGGGGGGGGGGGGTGCAAGTATTTGGCCACGCCCGATGATCTCAACAATTAAAGGCCGGGACACAGCGTGCGAAACGCGTCTCCGCACTTTCCATTGAAATATAACATGGCATATTTTCTGCTCCCATATCGCAGCGTACTACCCTCGCCCGTAGGTATTGGTGTTTTGCCGGCCGTAAACGTACATGTAGGTAAGTTTGCGGCCGGCAAACGTACATGCCATGTGTTGTATGCATATCGGCGTCGCCAGAGCTTTTCGGTTGGGGGGGGGGCAGAATCAACTTTTGTGTTAAAACTTGCCTTTCCCCAGTCGTTACTCACTCGTATTGCATATCATTCGACGCGCAATGGTGCGAGGAATCCGATGGTGACAAAGTTTTCCTTCTACCTATGACATGTATTTTTTTTTTTGCAGAAAAGTTTGAAATTTTGAAATTTCTGGACAAAAACGACTGGAAGAATTACAGTGGCTGCGATTCCCGACGCACTGCAGACTGCAGAGGGCCCCTGTGCAGGCGCTCGTCGCTAATGATCATCACCCAGAAAAAGATGAAAAACGCTCGCTCCATTTAATCGAACCACCTTGCTAAAACCTCCATTCACGCATGCATGTACTTGTAGGTTTTACGTGAAATGCATAGGGCTTATCTCAGCCGCTGCTTGTAGCTAAGTTGGGCATTCGGCGGAGAGTGAATGTTGGAAGTGTGAATCGGAAGTAATTCATCTTTGCTCCAGTGAGAGGAAGTGTTTTGTTCACTCGAGTGTCAACAAAAAGTTTCTCGTTTTTCCTGTGAAGGGAAGCCATGCAAACGCTAACCAAAACTGTTAAACGGAACCAAAGGTTACGCACGGCATAGTGGCAAGGGATTCCTTAGAGATAGGCTTGGGACTTCCAGGCCATATCAGGCCACTCAGGGTCTGTGTGGACTCTCAGTCAGCCTGCTTAGGATCCCGGAGATCGGCGTGGGTCACCTCAAATATTTACATGTATGTGGTGCTTTGCTTTAGGGCTTTCCGAGCCCAAGGTGGGGCCCTCAGAAGCCAGTGTGGGCGGCGGGCGCTAAGAGACTAGGCCCAGGGTGAGCCTGGAGCCCTCAGATAACAGTGTGAACCCTCGGGGTCTGTGGTGTCGAATCCCTAAGGAAGGACCCTACGCAGGGACGTGAAGAAACATGTGTTGCGGCCCTCAGAGGGACACGTGAGTAGTGACCCCTCAGATGCCGGCTTGGGGTTTGCAAAGTCTGTCGCCTCAAGAGTTTGGCTGAACTATCCAGTTAAGGTTCTCAGAAATGTTTGAAGGCTCAAAGATCACTTTATGGGCCCTCAGAGAATATGGACACCAGTGGGACTTTCAGAGGCCAGTTTTAGCCCTCTGAAAGCTTCTTTGGGCCCAGTAGAGCGCATTAGGAGCCTGTGTGAAAAGCAGTGTTCGCCATGGGCCGGCCCAGCCCAATGGGCCATAAGCTGGGCTGGGCTACGGGCTGGGCCCTCAAGTATGAGGGATCGATGGGCTGTGGATGGGCTGGGCCAAGAACTGTAAAGTGGAGTCAGGGGTTCACAAATGAGACAAAAATTATAACTTTATAGCTTATTACTGTCAAAATCAAATTATATGTGTGGCCATTTAACATTCCACACAGCGTATAAGAATATGCCAGTCACGTTCCTTATGTTTTCGCATCACATGCGCTGAAATTGGCGACAAAAGAAGGGGCGATGTCGGTCGGCAATTGGGACGCCGGTGAACACAGGGCGCCGGAGGGCATATTAGTCACGTGATATTTGGAACTTCTCCCGCTCCATGGGCCTTCTGCCTGTTCCAGCGCCTCCAGAAACCTCCAGAAACCTCCAGAAAGCTCTAGAATCCTCCAGAGAGCGTTCCAGCGCCTCCAGAAAGCTCCAGAAAGCTCTCGCCAAAGCTCCAGAAACCTCCAGTAGCCTCCAGAGAGTTGGGAGGTCCAAATTTCTCTGGAGGCTCTGGTCTTCAGTTATGGCGCACATGTGACAATCACGAATGTAAACAAAGAACTTTTGACTGAGAATTGTACAACTTGAATGTAAAGAAAATTACATTGCTATAATTTTGTTATTCTTTTTTACTAAAATTGAAAACAAATTTTGCGTGTCAAGATAGAACAATCGTCATTCTTTTGGTATCTATGACGCCAATCTCCAGAAATCTCCAGATTGCGTTCCAGCGCCTCCAGTGAAACCTCTGGTAGAGCCTCCAGTCAAGAATTTCTTCTGGAGGCGCTGGAACAGGCCCTATATCCCAAACGTCACGTGTAAATTTAACGAACCTTGATCAAATCGCCCCAGGCGCCCTGTTTTCACCGTCGTCCGGCAATTGAATGAATGATTACGAATAATAAATCGGATAAATCGAATACAAATTGGTAGAAGTGCATAAATATTAGAGAAATAGAAGAGAGAACATCGACCTTATTGTATTCAAACTGCAAGGTGAGCATTGTTCAGTAAGATTGCCTGCATTGCTCCATTTCTTGAACTGCAAGTTCACCCTGTACCTCACCTACTAAATAAAGTTATTGTTCTAACTTTCGATGTGAATGAGACTAAGAAGTCAGAAGAAATTAATATTTATTCTGTCATAAGTCTTACACTTGCCCTTCAGCTTGATTTGGTAGGTAGAAGTGAGGATGAACACCGGTCTCAGAAGCAGTAAACATTGCTTGAGCCTTGAAGTACAACAAACGATAAAAGAATATAATGTCAACAGTCAAGTCCTGCTTTTTGTATGTTTAATTTTCCTGAATTTGCATGCACATGGATGATGAAGAAGCACTTCATTAGTCGCGTTTATATAACATTTTTGACGAGACTCTAGCTCATGTATTTTGCAATAATTTTGACGCAGTGGTCTTCAAATATTTAGGGTGGATCATTTTGTTAATTGTTAAGCACCATTGGCATCTTTTTCAATATCATGGACAGAGATATAAGCTTGCAACAAACCCTATGTAAATGCGGCTATTGTCTCTTAGAATATTTAGTGCTGCACAAAAACTTTGCAACAATCCAAGAACTGAGAACTGCCTAGGTACCTACCTAGTACCTCCTATTCTAGGTAGTCATAAAGCAAGCATCATACTTGCTTTTTACAACCAAGGAGAGGCACTAATACTATACCCAAGTCCCAAAGATCTGCTTTCTAATCAAACCAAACCTAACCTAACCAAACCTGACCTGACCTAACCTAACCTACAACCTATAACCTTAAACCTACCTACCACATAAAACCTAAAACCTAACCTACAGCGCCTTGCCTTGGTTGGAAAAACAAGTGTGATGTGATGCCTCACTGCCTGCTTTACTACTACCTACCCTTTTCTATGATGTTTATCAACATTAATACAATATTAAACAAAATAAATTCACGGATGGGTTACCTATTGTACACCACTCACCAGGTAAAAAATTGCCATGAAAATTACTTGATGGTGCCTTTTCCCAGCCAGAACATCTATAATCTATATGATGTTTTGTAATTGATGTTTACTTTTAAGAGCTGCTTTTTCATATAGGTAGCACATAAGGATAGCAACTATTGTGATCACAGAGCACATGTGCTCAGCACTTTCGTGTTGTTTGAATTTGTGTTTTCTATCTGTGCATCATGAGGATATTGAGGAATCAAATGGAGGTCAAGATAGTTGTTATAGGATCCTAATAACTTGTTTTTTGAATAATGTTTTAACTCTTTTCAAAACTTCATGAAAGCATTTCATCTTTGTCATAGCTGTTTTGCTGAATTTAAGCTGTGCGGCTTTTACTTTTTTAGTTATTTCTTGCATTGACTCTCACTAGTTCGCTAATCTACCTCAGATGGCTTCTGAAAAGCAAAGCTGTATGCCACCAGTCCTTCCATAAGTCTGTTTGCCTGACATATGAGTACCGCTCATGAACTAGGCTCATCAGCCCTGATCAGCCCCATTTTTATTACTGCCTTAATTTGCTGCTAAACGAAAAAGAAACAACTTATGGCTTTAATAAATATGGAATTCCAATCACACAGCACTTTTGCTGGGTTCACTTTGTCTTCAGAAAGTTAATAAGATGAAGTGAATCTTTGAGGTTGTTGTGAGCCACAATAGCAAGCAATATGTACAGGGAAAACATCATGAAGACAATTATCTTACCAAGGAGTGCAGTGTTTAACCCTATTAGTGGCAGGGGGGGGTTGTTTTTATCCACCCCTCAGGTTTTTCGGGAATATCTCCGAAACCGCTGAAGCTACGATGCTGAAATTTTCTGACTTTTCCTAAAACTAAATTGGGCACATTCCCTGAAAATTTCAAGTTCATAACTTTACCAGGGGCGGCTCCAGAGCACTGGGAATTGGGGGTCCTATTCGTGAAGCGAGTCATTTGGGCGAAGATCACGATGCTGCACCAGTTTTACGAACAGTGAATGAAAGGTATCATGCGATAACATATACAAAGTTATTGTGCGTCCTCTTTTGACACGTTTTTGCTATAATAGGCGGATCCAGGCGTAAAAAGGGGGGTTATTTTTTACCTCCCAACATAGGTGCCCTGACACCGCCTATGCATGACCAATACAATTTTAATCGTTCTCTCATAAGAAAATTGTAACATAACAAGACCATTGCCAACCTTTTTAGAAACAGTACCAACAAAAAACCTTATTTACTATACTTTTTGTGTACCCCCAATCTCAATGATCTGTATCCGCCTATGATTTTTGAAAATGCATATTTTTAGGATCCATGTGAATTCCTGGTTCATTCTCTATCGATCGGCAAAAGTTGCGTTGAGATTGGTTCAGAAACCTGGCCGTGATAAACAGTCTAAAATGTATCTGCAATTTGCCCGTTTTTACCCCCCTCTACCCCCCTATTGACATTTTTTTTTAGAAATGTAGATCTCGTTGAGCGAAATCGAATGCCGTTTGAATTTTGAAAATCGGCCCGTTAGATCTCGAGATATCAAGGGGGGTCGTAAACAGCCCCCCCCCCTGCCACTCACTAATAAGGGTAGCCAGGAGCCTGCCACTAATAGGGTTAATGTTGTGGTTAGAGCGCAAAATGCGTGCCTGCGGCGAGAAAATGACTATTGTATTTAGTCGAAAATTCACCCTTACTTACCTTGCCTTTGTTTACAGAAACATGATTCGATTCATCCTAATCCAGAACCGGGCTGGCAAGACACGCTTGGCCAAATGGTACATGAACTTTGACGATGACGAGAAGCAAAAGCTTATTGAAGAGGTCCACGCCGTGGTGACTGTTCGTGATGCCAAACATACAAACTTCGTCGAGTTCCGAAACTTCAAGATCGTCTATCGGCGCTATGCCGGCCTCTACTTCTGCATCTGCGTGGACATCAACGACAACAACCTCTGCTACTTGGAAGCCATCCACAACTTCGTGGAGGTGCTCAACGAATACTTCCACAATGTGTGCGAGCTCGATCTGGTCTTCAACTTCTACAAAGTTTACACTGTGGTAGACGAAATGTTCTTGGCAGGAGAGATTCGAGAGACCAGTCAGAACAAGGTGCTGCGACAGTTGCTGATGCTGAACTCCCTGGAATGATCCCTGGGATGCGGACTCTTGAGACCGAAATATGCGAGAGTGCAGGCGCCGACAAGGTTCCACAGTCGTTGTACTCGGGCTAGCGAACTGTGTGGTATCCATTCTGTTACTTTTGTTATCGGGCCCGTGGAAACGCTGCATGACGACCCTGAGGGGCGTAGGGTCCACTGCTTACGACGCTGCCAGGACGCGGCCTACTTAAGTCACGTATATCTCAATGTATTAGCCGGTCGGTGGTGTGTAGGTTGTCCGAAACGCATGGATTGACTGTTTTTCGTTGTAAACAGAGTATAGACATTGTGTCAGATAGCCTGAAAGCACCAAGTGGTGGTCCTGGACGGATGGATGTAAGGGCCCCGCTCATGCGGCGTTTGTTTTTTCGAAGAGGTGGCTTGCTTTCTTCATCATTCCCTGGATATTGCGCGAACGTTGAATCATGTAACTCGTGAACCTGTTCGCGATAATTGGACGTTATAGGCCCGACGGTCGTTTGTTTACATATTATTGTACCACAGTTTGTCGTTTATTATTAAAAGCAGACTCCATGTGATGAAGTTAACGGCTTTGTGATGTCGTCTCCAGTCAAATGTCTTGAAACCCCACGAGAATAATACCGGTCAATGACAGATAAATACAACACACGAGCGTGGGTGCACGCAATACAAGACGACGGCTTGGCCCACTACTACATCACAGTCATAACCTGCTTCAATCGAGCAGTCGTTTTAGTGTGATTAATTGCAGACTTCCCTCAAAAACAGTGAACGTGGCACCACACCCCGTACCAAGTTCACAGCAAATAACATTAAACTCCTCTCGCCAACCCGACCCCTTGAAACTATCACGGCTCTGGTGATTATGATGGTTTAATGCCAGCGGACCAACGATGCGGAATGTATGAAGGGCGCCCCGAGCCGACGCGCTTACCAGACGCCGCGGTATTCGCCAGGCTCCAGTAGGCTCTCCTCCACCGCCCAGCCCTCCACCCGCAGACGCTCCAGCAACTGGGGCAGCAGCTGCTTCGTCACGCGCTCAGAGGCCGCCTGCCAGTCGTCCCTCCACGCGTCACCTTCTCCGGCCAGAGCGGAGGCCACCGGACCCTCCAGCCGGACCTCTCCGCCGCCCTCGGCCGCCTGTCTCAGTCGCACTGCCACGGCGGCAGCCAGCGCGGCGCCCAGCTGGTCCGCGGGACCGGCGCCGCGCCGCAGGCAGACCAGCGCCTCTCTGCTGGACGGGTCAAGCAGCAGGAGGTACGGCCGGCCGGCGTGCAGCGCCGTCAGCTGGTCCAGCTGGCCGGGAGCGGCGCGGGCGGCCAGCAGCAGCGGCGGAGCGCCCAGCAACAGCCGCCAGCCGGTCAGAGCAGACTGGCAGCGAGGAGACTCAGTGCCGAGTACCAGCGGCTCTCGACTGTTCACTGCGGCTACCCCGAGCTCCGCCGCCGCGCCCGGTGCCGCCAGGAAGCCGTCCAGCACGAGACTGAGCCGCGGCGTGTTCAGAGAGGAGAGACGGACGGCTCGAACCGCTCGGTAGTTGGCGAACACGTGCAGCGCGGTGAAGAGGAGGAATATGAGCCAGCTGGCGGCACTGCCGGCGTCCACCAGCGGCAGAAGAGCCATGGTCGTCAGCAGGCCGACCAGGTTCACCACCCGCTCCTGACTGCCGTCCTGTTGGAGACGCGGGGAGAGTTACTTTCTTCGGTAACACAAGGGGCAATGGGTCACCAACGATAACACATCTACATCTAGCTTCTACACGACATGGGGCAAAGGGTCACCTCCAGTGGGAACACACGAACACGGGGTGGTCGCCTAAGGTAAAAAAAAAAACGAGGCGAGGGGTCACCCCGGTGATACAACAAGACAAGGCCAGAGGTCACGTCACCTCCAGTAATACGTCAGACACAAATGAGGGATCACATCCGGTAACACGTCTGAAAGGGGGCGAGGGATCACCTCCGGTAACACAGTCACTGCCCTAGTTCACGGGTACTGGCATCCAGAGTGCATACGCGCTAAACAGATTATCACATAGAATTCGATTCAGTGATATGGTCATCCAAAAATGCGGTGGGAAAGGCAGCATTCAGGGTACAGAGCAAGACTATACGGCTCCAATGAAACAAAAAAAAAAGCATGCTAGAATATACGAACGGGGGGAAATAACTAGCATCTAACAAAATCCCAGTCCCTTAGGTCACCTTCACCGCCAGGTCGGCCATGTTGCTTCTGAGCGCCTGGTGCTGAGCGATGGCTGCTCGCGTGGCACCGCCGGCCACGCCCACCAGGCTCTTGGCCAGTCCGGCCGCTATCACCGCGACCTACCGGAGATGACAGGAAACTTACTGCAGACTCGACACAGAGGGCGCGCTAAGTCGCAACGACACTCAAAATTGAAGATGTGTAGGACAGGACGGCCAACAGTTTTCACTTGACTTGATTGGTCATTCAAAAGCACTGAAAATGAGTTCAAGTGCTACCTCATACGTAATAATTTGATAAATTATTCCGTTATCTGAGCACTAACATCTCACCATACATGGGCTCGTCTGCAACGCATGCTGCCAGCCGAACAACACTGAATAGGAAAGCGGTGCTGGACAAACATACCTTGAAGACGGCGGTGCCGAGCGCCGGCGCGGCCAGCTCCAGGCAGATGGCCGCGTCGTTCAGCACGTCGGCAAACAGTCGCCACTGCTTACAGCGGGCGTCCAGGCCGGACGAGGAGCGCCATGCGAACACGATCTGACCCACCATCCCGGTGCCGTCCTGGAGCGGGGTCAAATGTCAGAGCAGGGCATGGCATCTAACAATGTTTATGGTCGTTTTGAGAGTCGTTTAAGTCGAGACGAACTTAGACGGGTCACGGTTCAGCATGCAAACTGAAGGACTGCCGTAGATAAAAATCGTAGTAAACGAACTATAGTCAAAACGACAGATTTACATATACTTTCAGTCATAAGCAGACGGAGACCATAACAAGGCCGATAGTAGAGGCACGGCCGGTTGTATCTATCGGGTGCGGGTCACAAATTCATATTTGCACGGATGACGGAAGGCAAACAAAAACATACGCCCGAATACAGAGTATTTAACGTACAGTCATATGCAAACAATCGACGATTCCACACCGCATTCAATGCTGGAACATTACGGATCGACGCTCCCTACATACGACGTACGAGCATGCGAGCGTAGGAAGCAGCTAGTACGAACCTTTAGCAGCCAGGTGATGGTGGCGGCGAGGGGCGTGGCCTCGGCGTCCCCCACGCCCATTCCGCCCAGCACGGCGCGCGTTGCCAAAGCGCCCGTGATGTTACTGGCAAAGGCCTGGAGCGTGTCCCACACCTGCGGCCGGGAAAACAGGTTCATCGGAGGGTCAGCATCGGTGCGAGGCGAGGGGAGGTGCCCTGGCGGGGTCAACAGCAAAATAGGTGGGGAGGGGGGAGGGGGGAGGCAGTGACTGCAGGCACCTGACACTCTGAAATGAGCTCCTTTCTGAAAGGAGCTCCCTTCATGAAGTGAAACAGGGCCCTCACAGCAATTTGGGCCACAATTCAGATAAGTAGCCTGGTGGGACTGGGGACATCATCTATTCATCCATTGACAATTGCTGATTTCATTTGGTTGTAGCAATATATGAAATGTTTGTAAAAACTATCACTCATTTAACAACACACCTGATATTCAAGGTAGTCATCGCTGACAGACTCTGGATAGCCCTGCGGCAGGAAGATTTCGCGCAGTGTGTCCAGCAGCCCTCGCCGCTGCACATGCCGACTGATGATCCGCGGCTGACCTTCAGCTCCATCGCCACTTGGAGATAGCTCGATGGTGGCCTCATGTGTGGCCCCAAAATGCTGCTCAATGATTGCAGTCATGACACTCAAGTTGTCTGTGGAGGTTCAGCTGCTCCTCAGCAGATTTCGTCTGAAATCAGAAGATATTCTTGGTAAAACAACTGTGTTGCTGGACCCCTAGGGAAGGTACATTTTTTAGGTAAGGTTGGTTATTATCAATAGAACAGGAAACCCACATTATTTTCAATGGATCATGATCATTATTTTCAATGGACCTACACATCAGCAAAGGTGTTCTACACCTGCAACATTGACATTGCTGAAAATGAAGTTTAAGCTAACATTTCAAAATAAATGCAATAAAAAGAATGTTTACAAAGCATGGAACATAACCACATATGCAAGAGTTCATCTAAATAATAATTTCTTTCTTCACTGAACCAAGCGCTAATAAATGCCTTGTAAATAAACAAGGCACTTGTTTGTTGTTGTTTTGAGACGTTCTGCCGATATCGCCGCACCTAATCGCTCGCGAATCTCGGCATATGATTGGTAGTCATCATAGACACCGTTAATTCGACCAATGACAAGCCGAGAAACGGCAGCATGCTGATAGAAGCAAACGGCGACTGAACAACACTCGATATTAGTACTGCGTTGGTACTGCGCGGCTGGCGGCAATTTATCGATATAAATTCGACGAGTCGACGAGTGAGTGTCGTTGAAGTATTTGTGCGAATATTTCGCTTCTTTGTAGCGGTGTTTGAGCTCATATAATTTGTCTGTGATGTTAATATATTGCATAGCTGTATTTAGACTAAATTTTGTTACACAATATTCCTTGCGATATTCGAGAATGGGCAAATAAAATGCCAAGCTTGAGCTCTCAGGTTTCAGTTTGATCGTTGTCTTTGTCTTTTCTGAAGAAAACAAAAAATACTTCAAAGCCAACAGTAATCAGGGATCAACTTCATAAGTAAGTAGCATATTCCATATTATCGGCAATATTAATATCCGTTGATATCAGTTGATAATGATATAGTTTCTTACTTGGTGCTTCGGGCTTCCGTTCAAAACGGATTCAGAAAGGCGGTGTCATGCTGTTGGGCTAGGTATATCCTAAAAAACAAAAATCTAGAAGGTCAAAATACTATTTGAACAATGGATTTTGATGCCTTATGCCAATGCATTGCTGTGTAGTTTACAGCAAGTCCTGCTATTGAAAAAGTTCCAGTTTCCTTTCTTTTTAGAACAAGCATTTTTATCTATTTCAACTTCTGGTCTTGCAGGGAGGGAGTACTTATTTTCCTCTAATGCTTCTCTCTGGATCTGTTGTAAAGTCTGGACTTGCCTGTAGGAACTGAACTTACTGAAGTGAAGGTAATTCAGTCAGTGACCAGTGTCTTACTTTCAGTGATCAAAGACCTTCATTTGTGCCTTGTTCACTTCTTTATTACAATCACAATGAATGATACTGGCCTATGTGGTAGAGGAAGGGTGTCAGGTCAGGAGCCAGAGTACCATGTGCATCACCCTACAATCTACAATTTACACACACCCCCCCCCCCCCCAGTTTTCGACTTGAAAACTCAACATTGATGGCAGTTGAGCAAGGTTGCAAATACAGCTGCGAATTGCGATCATGCGTACGTGGCATGCGTGAACGAGCATAGTAATTTACACAGCGTGCGAAGGTGAGTGCGGACGGAACAATGTCGATCCGCCGTGCACTAACGACGGGGCGGCAGGTCGCACTCGTATTCTGCGAGGTAACCCGGTGGTCCGCACAGACACTTCGGGCGCTTAGGAACGGTAGGAGACGCACGCTCTGCCTGAGGCGGTCGTTCCTTGGGGGATTCTACAGGCCCGCCCTGTGTACGGAAGACTGGGCGGGACGTTTGGTGAATTTTCGTCTGCAGAGGTCGACAACTGATAGGTCTCGGAGATGAGGGGCCCTGGCGGACCGGTCGGCGCGGCTCGGTGCATCGCACAGCGTCTTAGCTCCCGATCCTCATAAGCGTAAGGGGCCGGCTGTTCCGGAGTTGTGCCTGGGCGAGCGCGGTGAGCTGTTGTGGGGAGGGAGGATATGTGAAAACCCGAAGTCCAGTATCATGATCAAAGACCTTCGGTTGTGCTTTGTTCACTTCTTTATTACAATCACAACGAATGATACTGGCCTCTGCGGTAGAGACAGGGTGTCAGGACTTCGGAGTGACAGGACAGTATCAGAGTAGGTACCATGTGCATCACCCTACATTCAGGGGTCCTAAAATTATTGAGCAGGAGCTGTCAGTGATGGTAAGTATGAAGTCAGGTTCAAGATGTCCTGCATTGATGAAGCTGTGTATCAGTGATCTCAGTGGATCTAAAAGCAAATTGCTGATTAGTATATTTGATTTAGTCGATTCCTCATAGTAAATTGATGTGCACTTCTCCACACCAACTGAACTGGGACTGGAAATCACAATCCTGTTTTCTCTTTGTCTCCAAACAGTCATACTGTCTCACATGCACCAACTTCCTGGACAATGCTTTACTAGTGCTGTGGTTCGACTTGGACTTGGGTTGGGATTGTAGGTGCTATCAGGGCTAGCACAGCTCCACACAACAAGATATTACCTTCACAAAACATTTTACCTTCTTTATTTGCTGCCCAGCATTTGTATTTTGCTTCCCATGCAGCAAGTTTTAAAAATTTCTTTCTGTTGGAGAAAAATCGAACGTTTTCCATTTTACATGAGGAGTACCTGAGTGTTCAAAGATTCCTTTTCCTTGAATCCATCACAAGTTTTTTACAGATAGATCCACCATTGCCTGTAAATCCATGGTCCCATATGTATACATGCTAATTAGTGACATTAATGTGAATTATATACTAGTCACCTTCTGTCTTTTTATTACGCATTCAAATTGTATATAAGTTTTGCAAATCTTCTGTAAAAATTCCATGATCGATCTCCAGTCATTTGTTATTAGTATTTTTTCTTTGAAACGGCTGATTGCTGAACTTCGCATTTCATTTTCGCGCATCGTTCGTCCATCGCATTTCTTGGTCTGCACGAAATATACGCGCAAATACTCGTTAGGCTGCATAATCTGACGTCGATCCTACGGCTACGGCTGCACTTACTTCTCAACAGATCGTAAAGTTTCCACCGTTGGAACTTCGGCCGTATATTTCCCATGCGATCGGCGCTGCGCAATATTTGCTTTGCGAAGTATTTCGTCTGATGTGAGCCTAGATAATATTGGATTCTCTGACCCGGATGCCACTGTCCGGGTAGCGCCCCCTACCACCCCCCCCCCCCTATTGACCCAATGACCTGCCCCTGAGGCTGATCGCACCAGAAGGCTCTGGCATGACCGCAACTCCTCCCTTAGGTCTTCACTCGTGCTGGTCGTACCCATGATGGCAAACGATGTGATGAGATGTTGCTCAGTGCTTATGGCTGGACGTGCTTCTCTCGAGTCGTTTTACCAGTACCGTGGCTACCTTGTGCCCAGTCAGAGCGGCGTGCTGTACCGGCGCCGTCTGCCGCGCTTCGCCGCCCGTCCTGTGGCCGTGTTTATGGCACCGCCGCGGCCGCCTATCACGGGATGACTCCTGACGGGCCGCCCGCTGACGCCGTCGCCGGCGCCGGCACTGGGCCAGTGTGGCGGAGCCGGGCCGGAGACCGGGCGCGGCCATAGTGCTGGTGGAAAGGACGTGGTGAAGGTTGTGAGATGGAGACAACGCCACTGCAGAGATCACGGGACAGCGTTTGTTAGCTTCATTGCTATCAATACGAGGCAAGTTTTGATCATAGTTGACATTTATGGATTGGTAGCTGTTTTTAGAAGATTATATACCGAAGCAAGTTTGTGGGAGTGCAGTTTCGGGATGATTTTTGATTTGTTTTTGGGAAATTTGGTTGCGCCGGGGGCTGCGTCGTTCTTCGGGCTGTACTTGCTAATGTCTCGCCCAGCAGCACTGCTTCGGATGAAGACGTAGCTTACGGCGTGTTCAGCACGGTGTCATACTGGTTAGTTCAGTGCAATAAACTCAGTCGGGGGTCGGACTCTGCTGCCGCCGCTGTCCGGTCACCTGGTGGTTCGATAGTGTCTGTTCTGCATTTCGTGGTCCGTGTCTACTTAGTTTCTACCCTCTTTTCTCCCTCAGTAACGGCCCATCATCGACTCCTCTCCATCACGGGACTATCTCTCGCCCTCTCCAGTACCGATTACCGTCCCCTCTCCCGCTCCTTTCCGTTACCTACCGAATCCTTTCTAGCACCGGCTCCTCTCGAGCACCGGACACCCTCTCCCCTCTTCCGTCCATTTGGCAGCGTGGTCACCTGCTTCCGCCTCTCCGCTACAGAGCCCGGACATGTGGGCCACTTCCGGTGGGTCTGCCTGCCTCCTGGACACCTCTGCCCTCCCCTCCTCCCCTACCCCGCCTCCTTAGCACTTCTCTCCTCCTCTAGCACCCGTTCCTCCCCGACCGTATGTAGAGCTCCATCCAAAAGTATCCAGGCTCGAATGTTTAAACGCTGCTCAGCTCACCACTAGCTAATAACATTGCTTTTTACTCGGATAAAGTTGGGGCGAGAGATTGCTCCCCCCCCCCCCCGGATGCAGGCGGGGGATACAGCATTGCATCCTTCTCCCCTCCCCCGCTTTCCTCGTCCCGGCCCAAGTTCCGGTCATTGAGGCGTCTCCCTGGCCGTAGCGTGATCCATGTTGCGGGATCCATCTGCAGCTAACTGGGGACACAGTTGGGCCCAGCTTACATAGCAATCCTGGCTACGTGCTGAATTGTGCTCCCAGTGGTGGAAGTCAATCACGACGGTGTGGAATGAGGTGCGAAACGGGAGTCGCTCTACGCATCTAACGCTCCCTGGGTCATTTGGAGACCTGCCGGCTGTATTTCACAGCCTCGTCTCCATCCGGTCCGCCTTTGGTGCTACAATCAACGCCGCTTAGCACCACCTGTGTATTTTAGAACTCAGCCGGGGTGCCGCCTATACGGTGTACTTGTCCGCAGGCAGACCCATCTCTCAGTGACGAGTAAACGAGATTGCATCGCCGGCGCGGGCCTCGTCTCAGACCCGGATCGATTGTCTCGGTAGAGCGCCGCCGCCGGTCGTCAGCCGCCGCTGTCCCCAGCGTCCGGTCTCGTCGGCTGCGGAGTAGCTGGGACGAGCTCGGCGGCTGCGCTGTTCGGCCGCGCCCTGCGCCCGCACACGCGCCCTCGTCAGACACAGAGGTGGACGGGGGCGGTCGGCAGCGCGTGCAGGACGCTCGGTGGAGTGTGGAGCGGTGTGCTGTCGGGCTACCCGATAGGAACGGACGACCAAGGGTTCGACGTCTACTATTTAGGCATACATATCGAGAACGGCTGGATCAATTGCGCTGAAAGTACGTGCGCTGGCAGGGACCTACTAGCTCGGTGACGCGCCAAGTCTGTGGTGATTTCAGTACAGGCACAAGTGCGGCGCTCAGTTACGCTCGCTTGTTAATCGCTCGCTTATGTGACTGATTCGTCAGCCAAACATTATTGATCTGAAGCGATTGATACTCGCTACGCTAGGTAGAAGTTTGTCCCCCTCCCCAAACGATCTCTGCAACTTAGTATCGCAGTGAGACGCGCTTTTGGAAAGCACTCCCCTAGACTTTCCAGTGCGTGCCGCGTCCGCGCCGTCTAAAGGCCACAACTGCTCTCCTCCCTCTGAGAGACTGTCTCGCCACTGTCTTTGCGCTGCTCAGTCGTACGACGCACTGGTTGATGCTTCCCCTCTGGTCTGTTGCAGACGCCGCCGGCTGAGCCGGCTATGAAGTGTGAGCTGCACCCTATCCCGCTGGAGGTCTGGTGAGTAACCTGTGAACCGGGGGAGGGCTGGTAATCGCTTGTTGAGAGTTGAAGGGGCTGGTCAAGGTCAACCTAGAGAGGGGTCGGTACTTCAGATCTTCCCCTCTCCTCCCCCAGTTCCGCCCACAATATCACAGAGCGCACCGTACTGATGGCTGTCTGCCGTTTGTAAAGATCCGATGCCGTCGCGATCTAGTGAGCGATCTTGGGTGCGTGCTGCGTATTGATAGCACCTTCCTCGTGACCGGCGGAAGTCGACAATCTATGCTACTGAGCGGTCCACGCCCCACGCTTCCTCACCCCTACCCCCGATGTGACGTCACAAAGGGCGTCGTGGTGTCTCAGGTGTGTGACTCAGGTGATGTGATTCAGCGGTGGGTAGACAGCGGCCGCCCGGTGCATCCTCTCAGGTGCACTGCTGGTGGCCCACCCTTCTTGTCATGTTGGCAGTTAATGTGTGGCTTTTGGGCCCCCGAAAAAAGTAAAAACCCACGTGAGTCGTGGGGTTGTTACAAGTGACTACTCGTGGGCGGGTCTTTGTCCCAGGTGTCCCACCAGGCCAGACATCGCCCATCGCCCATTGAACCTGGCCAACCACGAGACTCAGCTTTCTCAGATGACGGCTTTTGTTCAGCTTCAGACGCTTGTGAACGTGTCTACTGGACAGGACGCTCATGTAGGCATTTGCTGAAGATATTCTTTGGTGCATTGGCCGGCATGCATACGAGCTTTTTTAGATTAGCTGTGTACTTATGAACAGTGTTTCCCGAAGGCCGGTCGTATTCCGTTGTGATCGTAGACTCGCTCATGTGACGCTATACCTCACGTCATCATGTGACGCTCTATGAGGAATTCCGTGATGCCTGGGAGACGGCTGCCACGGCGCCGTCTGGGCGGTATCCATGTGCTGGACCGTAAACATGAGCTGGACCCTACCCAGGAGTTGGGTCGCCGCGGGGCGCGGGGCGCGGCGGCATGCGAAACTGATGCAAACGGGCCATGCCTGGTCGGGCTGAAGGGGCGGGTTGGTACTGAGAGTCCGGTGGATCAGGACTTCGCGGCGGATGGGGCAGGACACCGGGGTGGACGGGTCAGGTCAGCGTCCTTAGACAGGCGACTGTCATATCTGTTCATCATAGCGAAGTATCAAACTAAAGGTGATTACTGATTACCCAAACGGACAGCCGAACTGCCTATCCATAATCCAATGCTCCCGACGCGTCCGGCTAGTGAGGGCCCGGCAGTGTGTTGTAATGGCATTTGCTTTCGCTTGTAGCCGTGCCAGCTCTCGGACGCTGAAATGACGAGTTCCTCTGCTGATTGCTGATAGGGGAAGGTCATAGTTGATTGCAACGGTGATGGCAGCTCGTGTGGCCTTGTCAAGGCCGCTGATCACATCATACGGGCTTTGTGGCAATGCTGCCCGGGACGCGAGTTACCTAAGTGTGGAACTACAAGTCGATTCTAGGGCTCTGATTGGTGACTTTGGTCGGGGGATGACGCTTATAGCATGACGTCACTCGCGTGCTTGGCCGGACCAACGGCGCGGCGCAGGCGCGCCGAGCCAACCCAGAGGCTCTCAAACTCAATTGTACAGATCCTGCGCATTGAATGGCGAAACTTCGGCGAGTTCGCTTGAGTTTGGAAGCCCCTGCCAGAGAACTGGAGACGGCCGGATTATTTGCTGGACAGTGGGCAGCGCAGATGGCGATTGACGGTGCCAAAAAGATGATAGGGAAAAAGGGGTTGAGACTTGAGCAGTGAGTTATAAGCCTGTTGCATAGCTGAGTGGTAAATTGTAAAATACTTAAGGTTTGAAGAGATGCAGTGTAGTTTAGCCGACTCAGGGGCATTCTGCCGAGTTAGGTATGTAAGACGGAAGGGTCGCAACTCGCAAGTCGTTTGTTTACATGATTGCCTGATTAAAATGTAAAGCGTACCTAATGTTTAGTTGATAATACAGCGAGGTTGGGCATCTGCTCAATCCATTTCTTCTCTGCAATAGTGCATTCGCCACTGTAATTCATTGTAAGAGGCACTGGGCTGCGCCGCCTGTTAATTATTCCGAAACCACCAGTGAATTGCCACAGTCACAATACGAATCGTTCAGTCGTGCGCTGGGGGTCCGCCAAGTTTGGGTGTGCTGCAGAATGCAGACTGGACCGCCGAGAATATAACACTTCCGTCTCCCTGGGCGAGCGGCGCATTGGAGCCGAAGGAAACTGCTTCTGTTTTTTTTTTGTGGGGAAGATACCCATGTTTGAAAATTATGTTCTGGAATGACGCGATAAGGAAAAGGACGGTTTCTTGAATTGAGGGCTGTGGAGAAGAAGCAGATTTTCTCATTTGCTACCCGATACAACGCGAAAAGACGCAAATGTTGCACATTGGGCTTAATAAGTCTAATAAAAGATAAGGGACTTCGTGAATCATGCCTAACTGACCGCGACCCAGTTATTTGCCACTGCAGGTAGGTACTAGGTAGGTAGATACTCATTTGTAAACAGAGCGTTCCACCAACCCTCGCCAGAAATTCAATCAGCAGTTGCTTATCTTAAAACGTTTGAGTGCACCTAACAACCTTTAAAAATGACGTCCTCCCTTTCAATGGTTCGTTCGAAGACACAAAGCCAGAATCAGCCAAGCAATATCGGAATCCATTGCGCAGTGTGTCGACTGTCGGATGTGCCCATCCACATAGCATAGCACACACTGCTAAATGCAGGTACGCTCACCTACACATTAGGTATTCGAAGGACTTGATAGCTCATACACATGGAAGAAACGCACGAAATGTGATTAATAGCTGCAGCAGAAGTTTGGCGTCCGATGCCTCTTCGCCAAGTTAAGACCATGCCAATCTCGGCCAGTCTGCCGCCGCGCCGGCACTGGCCGTGGTGTGACGTCATCCGGCCGGCTCGGCGCTGGGTAGTTCCACACTTAGGTAACTCGCGCCCGGGACGGCCTTGGTGTGAGCTTCACCACTGCAGCACGGCAGGTGCACGGTACGGCGCGGTACGGCCGGAGCACGGCGTGGTACGACACGGCTGACACAGTGGTGTGGAACGCCGAACTACGGCTTACATCTGGTACCGCTGAAATACGCTCATTTGCTGAGGTATGCCACGCATGGCCAGTCATTTCACGGCGCAGGATGTCGATGTGGCGATCAGCACACAGGACTGTGTTCCTAGTTCCTCTCAGCACTCCAGAGAAGCTGGCTGTGTCGGTATCCCCGCCTTCCCCGACCTGAGTCTCTCAGTCAGATGCTGTGACCTCCACGGGGTGATACCTCCGATCAGGTCAAGGTCAGGTCACTGTTGTGAGAAGGCACGGTGTTGAGCCATGCATCCGTTATTTTATACTGTGGAGTTGTCTCGAAATGAGCCCATTGCGGTGCCGGATGGATGATGCTTTCTCTCCAATGCCTGCCTAACTGAGCTGTGACCGCAGTGGTCAGAGTCACACCGCGGTTCTGTCAGATTCTCCCGGTAACTAGGCGACCGCACGATCCGCATTGGCCGTGATCAAAGGCCATTAACATTAGTACTCCCACAGTCTCCATAAAGTCGGTTCTGTGAAACGACCGGCGCTGAGTTCGCCGACAGCTACTGGATGTCTTGATTGGAGCATATTTCGTTATTAGTGTCGGGTGTGTTGGCCATATGTTACTCGGCGGTAGGACCGGCTGTGCGAGCAGGCCGCGCAAAAGCGCGGATGACTGATGAACTCCTCAGGTTTACCGTTACCTGGCCACCCGGATTACAGTCAACGATAGGGCTGAAATGAACCGTCACACACGCCTTGCGTGTTTTAGGAGTTTTAGCCGCGCCTGGTGGCTACGTCTGACTACTATCCTGGATAGCAGTCAGTGGGTACCGGGCAGTGTCGAGCCTACGAAACGTGGCTCAGTATCACCGCTGACCGATGACTCACTCATGATCTCCGCCCCGACATATCGGTTCTGAGTATACTAACATCCCACCGCTGAGACTCTATAGTCTATGCCGACCCTGTGTCCGTCTTACATGCAGAATCCAGACAATGCTCGGCCCTTCGGGAACGCGTCCGACGTAATCCCACCTCTCCTGAGTCTGGACAAGGCCGTGTCAATGTGCCGTGCCGTGCCGTGCCGTGACAACATCTGAATGCCGCTCCTCCCGCCGCCGTCCCCTGGCAGACTAGGATCGCGGGTTTTCCAGCTGGAACGCTGTTCGGCTGTCTCTCAGTAAAGTCCGTTGTCACATTATTCAGCGGCTCATCTCGGTCGGACCGTGTTATAGGGATATGACTGCTGTTTGGAGTCCGCCGCACGCCACACTGTGCTGATGACGCCGCGGTGGCTGATGACGGTTGATAACAACTGATGACGCCACGGTGGTTGATGAAGGGTAATGACGCTGGGGTGGTCGATGACTGAAATTATCTATGATTTCTTTAATGCGATCAGCGATGTCATATGCGTAATAGTTAAAGTGGTGTCACAAAAGTAACATGGTCCCTCTGTACCCTGCATTGGCTCGGTATCTGTTTTCTGCCAGTCTGCGCACCGTATCCCTGTTACTGTGTTGCAACTTCCCCATCCCCCTCCATCGTCTCCTGAAAGTGTCACGGCCGAAAAACGACCAGTCAGCCCTGCAGATGGTTTCATCCCCGACTGACTGAGCCGCGAGCTGACGAGAGAGCTGCACCAGCCGCTCGGTATCTGAGGCTCAGCTCCTCCAGCGGGTCGAGCTCGAGAAATGGCACGGTCGTCTTCTCAGCCTGTCTTCGCTTACCAGTGACCACTGGTCAGGAATGGGTCCCGAGAAACACCGGGCGCAGGGGAGATGGCTCATGGCCGTCCGGGCTGGTCGTATGCCGAGCTTATCTCATGGATGGCGGCTCCCGCGAGCCGTGTCCCCGTTTGGACGTGTACCGGGAATGGTGGATAAAATGGGTCGTGCCCAGGACGGGCTGGAGTTGCCTGCGGGCCGTGCTGGAGTCGTGCTCGGGACCTG